GAAAGAGTCAGCTCGCCTGGGACTCCCCCCACCTCCTGCACCAGGGTGACCTGCACTCTTATGCAAATAAGGAAGAGCTACAGCTCTTCAGAACTTTTCCATAACTACATGAGATTTAAAAACCTGTTTCGACTTGTTTCAAAAAAACACTTTTAAAATAGTGTTATGGAATTTACGTTCCCTGATAAAAGCAGGAGGGCAAATCCTTAACTAATACAAATCAGCAGGATTATTGATAACAAAAAGTAATTGTCACTTTACCTAAAATTTAACTTTTAATCACTGTAGGTTTACTGCGGAGTAACAATTTTTAATACAGAAATATATATTCTTAATAAAGAATATAAATTCCTTGGAATTTTATTTTAATATTTTAACTTCTGTTTCTGCTCTTATTTTAGAAAAAACTACATCCCTGCTTTTCAGATCTTCTACATCCTTCTCAAAATAAGCTTTTTTTTTTTTCATTTCTTACACTGTATGTTATCACACTAGTCAACATCAAATAATTTATTGAATACTCTACACTGAAGAATTTTATGAGTTGCTGAAATGTTGCCACATGTGCTTCAGTTTTCAGAATTTGGGCATTCAGTGTGTGAAGAAGAAAGACCTGAAGGAATCGATTTCTTTACGAATCTCAAAGAAGATTAACCCTTTCAATGGTGAGTAGAACTTAGCTGGTTCACTTTGCAGGGTGAGGGGGCTTTGTTTATCCTGCCTTTTGCTTTTGTGGTGAAGCTTTATTGTTTTCCAAAAAGTCTCTCTTTGAGAAACACTCTTCCCCTTCTGTGTCCCTCCTAGTTGTTCCTCACTGTCATCACGTGATGAATCTATTTGGATGGTTGCCCCCCTGCTTTTTTTTGTCTGTCTGTCTGTATTTTTTTAATCCCCAGCAGCAATGTGAGATGCCGCTTGGACAAAAGCACATTCTAGAGGCGGTGGGATAGCAGCAGAAACCCCTCAGCCAGCCAGTTCAGGGAGCTGATAGACTCTTTGAAGCTGCCCCTCGCTTGACTGTAGAGCATGGCAGCTGGTATGGGCCACAGCAGTACTGGCCTCAGTCAAGGCTGAGGCAGGGTGTGGCGCTTCAC